CAGAACGTTCAGTATACTTCCTTTTATTTCCCTGCCCCATTTTAACCTTTGAGCAGAAAACCAGGAATTACCAGAAATCGGAGGAAAGAAACCAAACCAGTATGAAGAGACCAAAACAAAGAGAAGGAAGCAACTGAAAAAAATATTATTTTTGAATAAGAACATTTTATTGTATATTTTTAGAGACAGAGTCTCTCTGTGGCCCAGTCTGGAGTGCCGTGGTGTCTTGCACTGTAACCAGGGCTCAAGCAATCCTCCTGCCTCTAATTCCCAAAGCACTGGATTACAGGTGTGACCCACCACACCTAGCCTTTGGTTAATATGTTAAAAGCCCATCAATAAAATCCTCAATGTTGGTCTGTATTATATAAATGTTATCGCTTTTATGTATTTATTTGGAATCTGCATTATTAGGAATCTAAAAAAAAAAATTTTGATAGGATACAGCAAGTCACGCCTATTATCCCAGTATTTTGGGTGACTGAAGCAGGAGGGTCCCTTGAGGCCAATAATTGAAGACCATCTTGGGAAACACAGTGAGGCCTCTGTCTTGGAAAAAAAAAAAAAGGATTTGACTGGTTAAGGGTTGATTTATTTATTTTGGGATGGGGTCTCACTTTGTCACCCAGGCTGGGGTGCAGTGGTGCGATCTCAGCTCACTGCAGCCTCGACCTACCGGGCTCAAGGGATCCTCCCACCTCAGCCCTACAAGTAGCTGGGACTACAGGCTCGTGCCACTCTGCCTGGCTAATTTTTGTATTTTTTGTAGTGATGGGTTTTCAGCATGTTGCCAAGGCTTGTCTCGAACTCCTGAGTTCAAATGATCCATCCGCCTCGGTCTCCCAAAGTGCTGGGATTACAGGGGAAAGCCATCGCACCTGGCCTGACTTATAATGTACATGGCATAAAATTAAAAGTGGCCGGGAGCAGTGGCTCATGCCTGTAATCCCAGCACATTGGGAGGCCGAGGCTGGCGGATCACGAGGTCAGGAGATCAAGACCACCCTGGCTAACGCGGTGAAACTCCGTCTTTATTAAAAATACAAAAACAAAATTAGCCAGGCGTGGTGGCGGGCGACTGTGGTCCCAGCTACTCGGGAGGCTGAGGCGGGAGGATGGCGTGAACCCGGGAGGCGGAGCTTGCAGTGAGCCAAGATCTCTCCGCTGCACTCCAGCCTGAGCGACAGAGCAAGACTCCATCTTAAAAAAAAGTGTATGCATTTATTCATTCATTGCTTGGGGGTAAATAGATAACTTCTGGAAGGTATTAACCCATAAAGCCCACGTTCCTGGTAATGTAAATAGAACACATTGGAAATAAATCTTCATTTCTTTCTTTCTTTCTTTCTTTTTTTTTTTTTTGAGACAGAGTTTCACTCTTGTTGCCCAGGCCGGAGTGCAATGGCGAGATCTCCACTCACCACAACCTCCGCCTCCCAGGTTAAACGATTCTCCTGCCTCAGCCTTCTGAGTAGCTGGGATTACAGGTATGCGCCACCACCCTAGCTAATTTTGTATTTGTAGTAGAGATGGGGGTTTCTCCACGTTGGTCAGGCTGGTCTCAAACTCCCGACCTCAGGTGATCCCCCCGCCTCGGCCTCCCAAAGTGCTAGGATTACAGGCATGAGCCACTGCGACCGGTGAAATCTTCATTTCTTAAGAACGGCATTATCATTTCTCAGAAAACATAAAAATTAGAAGTTTCACATGTAATAGAAAGTTTCTTAGACTGGCGCAGTGGCTCACGCCTTTAATCCTAACACTTTGGGAGGCCAAGGCGGGCAAATCACTTGAAGTCTGGGGTTTGAGACCAGTCTGGCCAACATGATGAAACCCCCATCTGTACTAAAAATACAAAAATTAGCCGGGTGTGGTGGTGCATGCCTGTAGCCCCAGCTACTCAGGAGGCTGAGGCAGGAGAATCGCTTTAACCCGGGAGGCAGAAGTTGCAGTGAGCCGAGATCATGCCACTGCACTCCAGCCTGGGTGACAGATTGAGACTCCGTCAGAAAGAAAAGAAAAGAAAGAGAGAAAGAAAGAAAAAGTTGGTTTCCTAATTTACATGTCTTCATATTTCAAGCTGAGAAGAGGTGAAAATTCCTTAAGTATAAATTAACCTTTGAATATGATTGTAGGATTTTAATGATCTACGGGTGTGTTAATAGATCCATTAGTGCGGAGACATTTTTGTAAGGATGGATGCTTTATTAACCACAGTTATTTGTGTATCTGTAATTACAGCCTTCTTGACGGAGCAGGGATCATCACCTTTAAGCTGGTTTAGAGGCTATATAATGTGGAGTGCTTGGTGCTTTACTAAGGGCATTTCATTTAATGTCTGTGTACTATTTCTTAGCTTGGTTTGAAGACAAAAAATAATAATTTATATGTTCCAGAATAAATGAGATTATCTTATTATATAGCTTCCAGAAGACATAATTTCCAAGTTGACAATAGCCACAAATGCATTTTAAGGTGTCTTTAATATATTTCATATAACTGCATAATTTTAGCTAGTTTATGAAATGATTTAGTCACAAACCAAAGTTCTAAAAGTGACTTCATGTAACGTTTTAAAGAACAATAGTTCCCCAAATAAGATAGACTGCTTCTTTCAAGATTATTTAAATCTTAGAATGGTACATTTAAAAAAATCTGTGTTCAGTAATTTAAAGAAGCAGGAAAAAATTGAGCTTGTAAAACTCATTTTAAAAAACACATTCTGGGATGGGCACGGTGGCTCACGCCTGTAATCCCAGCACTTTGGGAGGCCAAGGTGGGCGGATCACCTGAGGTCAGAAGATGGAGACCATCCTGGCCAACATGGTGAAACCCTGTCTTTACTAAAAATACATAAATTAGCCAGGCGTGTTGGAGCGCACTTGTAGTCCCTGCTACTCAGGAGGCTGAGGCAGGAGAATCACCTCAGGAGGTGGAGGTTGCAGTGGGCCGAGATCACGCCACTGTACTCCAGCCTGGGCGACAGAGCGAGATTCTGTTGCCCCCTCCCAAAAAAGCACATTCTGAAAAGATATATTTAAGGTGTAATGATTTGTTATTGCACAGATATTTAAATTTTATTAACATATTGCCATAGAAAATAAACATTCAATTCAACTTGAGAAATACTTGAGAACCTACTATGTGCTTTCAGGAGTGATGAAGACAAAAAAAAAAATGTGCTTTTTCAGACTTCTAGAAGTATTTAGAACAAGAAAAGTGATTAATAGGTATGCAAATGCCTAACATAGAAGGAGGCAAAAGCTAAGAATTAGAAGAAAAAGTACCAGGAAAGGGATTAAGATAAAAATCATTTTGGGTAGTTATTGTTCCTCTTCTTCCTCCTCCCTCCCTCCTCTCCCTTCTCCTCGTCCTCCCCCCTCCTCCCCCTCCCCCTCCCCCTCCTAAATCCTTTTGGGTAATTTCTCCTTCTCTTCCTCCTCCTCTTTTCTTCTTCCTTCTCCTTCTTGGATCACGGCTCTCTGCAACCTCCGTCTCCTGGGCTCACTTTATTAGCTCCACTTACTGGGATCCTGCTTAGGGGGTTCCTGCACATAGTAAGTGGAAGCTAATAAAACTAATATTGGATAATATTTGTCTGCCTAACTCAGCTTCCAGAGTAGCTGGGACTACCACATCCGGCTCATTTTTTATTTTTAGTAGAGATAGGGGTCTTGCCATGTGGCCCAGGATGGTCTCGAACTGGGCTCAGGCGATCGTCCACCTTTACCTCCCAAAGTGCTGGGAGTTCGAGACCAGCCTGGCCAATATGGTGAACCCCCGCGCCCCCCCCGACACTAAAAATACAAAAATTAGTCGGGCGTGGTGGGGCGCGCCTGTAGTCCCAGGTATTCGGGAAGCTGAAGCAGAAGAATCGCTTGAACCTGGGAGGCGGAAGTTGCAGTGAGCCGAGATGGCGCCACTGCACTCCGACCTGGGCGACGGAGCGAGGACTCTATCTCAAAAAAAGAAAGAAAGAAAGAAAGAAAGAAAAGTTCTCGTAGAACAGTGTTAAACAGATGAACAACTTCAATACTTGCTCTTCTCTGCTTGATTTCATTTAGTGTGGTGAGTAAAAATTTAAATTCCAAATATTATTTACACGCAATTATATCCAGTAGAATTCCTGTTTGCTCAAATAGGAAGTCCCTAGCCGTTACTCATGTTGTCTTACGTCTGTATTGAACTCTTACTAGATTGCAAAAGCTTCGGCAGAACTTTACAATCAGATGGTACAGATTTTGCAAAGCCACTTCCTCTTATTACCACTGGTCATCTGTCATTTATTAGGCTGCCATAAAGCAGGATTCCCCTCAAATCAAGTTAAATTAGAATCACTGATAAGGCTCAGGCACTAGTATTTTTAAAAAGTCCTCCAAGTAATTTTAATGTGCAGCCAGAATTGCAACTCACCAGGCTAAATTGTAGTTGCGCAATTTTGGTCTTCCTGATACCTGATTTCTTTGCTCTTTCTCTTTTCTGGTTCAATGTATAATAAGAATTTTCCAGTATTAGTTTTATTAGCTTCCACTTACTAAATTCTGCTTACGGGGGTTCCTGCTTAGTCTAGACAGTAAGCAGGAACTTACAGACGATGTAAGCTTATAGACCACATAAGCAGGAACCCTGTAAGCAAGAACTCAGTAAGTGTAAGCTAATTAAAACTATGTGCCAGGCAGGGTGCCAAGCATTTTCTGGGCATTATCTCACTTAACTTTCGTAGCAACCCCGAAGTAGGTGCCATTTCTATGAAACCTGCCCAATTACTGCCCCACTCCGCGGTACAAGCTCTTACCCACCGCTTCTTCAATACACTCCTGTTATGGAACTGTCGCGGCACTCCAAAGTCTCTATGTAGTTATAAATAAACGTTATCTGGAAGAGCAGCCTAGAACTTTCAAGATCTCCAATTCACACTCCAACTGACGCCTTTAACTACCCCTACTGAGCCCCACTTTCAAAGCTCACTCACTAATATTGGATAATATTTGTCTGCCTACCTCAGCCTCCGGAGTAGCTGGGACTACAGCGTCGTTACTAGCCAGCTTCAGGGCTAGAACAGCCTTTATGTGCAAGTGGAAAAAACCTCAGGTATTTCCCAAATCGGTAGCTGCAGAGGGGCTCTATCCTTACTGGAGATGGAGAAAAGCCCTCTCGCGCCTTTTATGTCAGCCCACGCGACTCGTTAAGAGAGCGAAGGCCAGGGACTGCCCAGGTCGCATCCCGAGAGCCTGAGGTCAGAGTCCCTGCCCCTGGGGCAAACTGCGAGGGGTGGGACGGGTGGGTGCAAGCGGGGCGGAGGGTAGGAGCCGCCCTAGAGGCGGTCCCTCCGAGTGCCCTGTGCCTCGCCTTAAAGGAGGGCGCCAACGCAATTTCAGTATCTGGGAGACGGGCTGCCCCACCCCCGCGCGCAAAACCCTGATTTAGCTTAAGGGATGAAGGCGGGGACCCCTGCGCAGGCTAGCGGTGTGGGAGGCGGCAGCCCGAGCCCTCTGACGCCGCGCTCCTGGAGGCCGAGAGTTCCGCGCCGGGAGGGTCCCGGGGGCAGAGGAGTGCCGCGCCCGGTTGCCAAGGCAACCCCACGCGGCTGCAGAAGCCGGCGCTCGCAGCAGGGCCAGGGCCGCTGCCGGAAGTGACGCGAGTTCACCTGCCGAGCGGGGGCGGGGAGGAGGGGCGGAGGGTGCAGAGGTGCCGCCGCCGCCGCGAGCCAGTCGGGAGCGCGCGAGGCGCGGGGAGCCTGGGACCCGGAGCGAGAGCCTCCTACCTGCAGCCGCCGCCCACGGCACGGCAGCCACCATGGCGCTCCTGCTGCGCTTCTTGCTCCTGTGCGGAATCGTGGGTGAGTGGGGGCCATGGGGTCCTCAGCACCCGCCCAACCCGGGGGCGCTCGCTGCCCGCGGCCACCCAGGAACAATGGGGCATGGGGGAGGGGGCGGGCGCGATTTGGGGACGCTGCTGCAGGGGCTGCGGGGCGGCCAGAATAGCACAGGGGCTCTTTTGCGGGGCCGGGCGCACCAGCCTGGCCGGGTGGAGACGTACCGGAGGGAGCCGCGCAGGGCGCGCGGAGTGCCCGGGGACCGAGCCCCCGGCGGGGGGTGGTGGTGGAGGGGCTCGGGCGCGGCGTGTTGTATGCGCCTCGCAGCTCTCCCGTAGCATTCTCTGCCCCGGTGCGGGCTTGCCTTTCTTTGCTCTCGCCGTCTCCCTTGTCAGCCTTCGTGTCGGTTCCGTCCAGCGTTACCCGATTTCAAAAGCCTTGGGCAACGAGTTTTCAGGTGTCGAATCGCCCAGGCGGGGAGGCTGAATTGCAAACGCCATTATTCAATGGACATGGAGCTGCCCCGTGCCTCGGATCGGCCAGGCTATCTCTAGGAAAGAGGCGCTGAGCGAACTCCAGCCTGGACGTTCTTAGTCTCCTGGAAGCAGCTCGCCCAGGCAGGAGCTGCTAACCAGACGCACATTGTGAAGTAGACCGTGGGAAATCAAAAGTGGGATCCTGCAAAAATGTAGCATTGGTTTCTGTAGTCCTTGGGCAAAGTGCAAAGAATTCAGTGACCTCGCTTTTGAGTTTGTAATGTGTCGGTTCATTTTGGAGATAAGACGGGCTGAGTTGTACAGGGTAATTGCTAGAGGCTTCGCCAAGTGCGTTGGTTGACTGCTCCTTTCTCTGGGAGGGGGGAAAAAGGCGTGTAAAAAATGCGTGGACCATTAGGAGGCATAATCATTTTGACACTTCAAAAAATGCATGTTTCCATGTCCGTGTTTTAACCAACTGATGTTGCTTGTCAAGCTAAGCGTTTTATAACCAAATAATTCATTTTAAAAAATCCGTAGGTGGGATCCCAGGAGGCGCACTTAGTATAGCCTCTGGAAGGGTAATTTTTGTTGTTGTTGTTAGGTGCTCTGAAGCAGGATAGAGTGGCCCTTTCTGTTGGGATGGCTCTCTGCTTCCTGTTGAAATGTTAATTCCATTGTTGGATGCCACAGCTGTGAGCATTACTCATGGGTTGAACATTCTATTAACAAGTCTAATCTTCCATCTGAGCCTCTAGCACTACCTCCACCTGTTTGATATATACCATTTAGACTTGGCTGGCTGAAATGTCCAAAGTAACGATTCCGGAGAAGATGAAGGGTCATAGAACCAGTTTACAGGTACATTCCCACCTTTTTTTTTTTTTTTTGTCAAGGCGGAACCTGAAGTTGAAGTTGAGAACACAGTGTGTTCTCTGAGAAAAAAAAAAACAAAAAACGTTCTAGACCACATCTAAAGCAGAAAAGTGGAAGAACATAAATTATGTGGAGGAACTTTTTTTTTTTTTTTTTTAAGATGAAGTTTCGCACTTGTTGCCCAGGCTAGAGTGCAATGGCACGATCTTGGCTCACCACAACCTCCGCCTCCCGGGTTTAAGCGATTCTCCTGCTTCAGCCTCCTGAGTAGCTGGGATTACAGGCGAGCGCCACCACGCCCAGCTAATTTTTGTATTTTTGGTAAGAGACCATGTTGGTCAGGCTGGTCTCGAACTGCCGACCTCAGATGATCCGCCTGCCTCAGCCTCCCAAAGTGCTGGCAGGGATTAGCTGTTGTTGTTGTTTTAACGGGAATATTTAGCTATTTGGATTTTTTTTTTTTTGGAATTTTTTTTTTTTTTTGGAACGTCTCACTTTGATAGGCACAATATTTGATGCATAGGGTCTTTGTGCTCATAAGGTATACATGGGTACAGTGAGCATTTACTGGAAGGGCCATTATCTTCAGCTAAACAAGGCAAGTATTTTTATTCCAATTTTTCAGTTTAAGAAACAGCTAAGGCCAGGCACGGTGCTTGTAATCCCAGCAATTTGGGAGGTTGAGACGGGAGGATCATTTGAGTTTAGGAGTTTGAGACCAGCCTGGGCAACATAGCGAGACCCCATTTCTACGGAAAATACAACAGAACAAAACTCAAAAAAGAACTAGCTAAGTGCAATGATTCTTGTCATAGTCCCAGCTACTCTGGAGGCTGAGATGGGAGGATTGCCTGAGCCTGAGAGGTCGAAGCTGCAGTGAGCCACGATCATGACACTGCACTCGAGCCTAGGCGACAGAGTGAGACCCTGTCTCAAAAAAAAGAAAGAAAGAAAGAAACAGGTCAGACTAATTGATGTATGGCTTTATTTCTTCAAATATTTCTGACCATTTAGAAATGCATTGGTATGGGCTGGGCGCAGTGGCTCACGCCTGTAATCCCAGCACTTTGAGAGGCCCAGGCAGGCGGATCATAAGATCAGGAGATCGAGACTATCCTGGCTAACACGGTGAAACCCCGTCTCTACTAAAAATACAAAAAATTAGCCGGGCGTGGTGGCGGGCGCCTGTAGTCCCAGCTACTCGAGAGACTGACGCAGGAGAATGGCGTGAACCTGGGAGGCGGAGCTTGCAGGGAGCCGAGATCGCGCCACTGCATTCTATCTTGGGCAGCAGAGCTAGACTCCGTCTCAAAAAAAAAAAAAGGAAATGCATTGTTATGAACTCAAGTTCACTGTTAACATGATTGACTCCTACATTAGCAAAACAAGGAAAAGGCTCATATTCAAATTATGCCATCAGTGATAGATATTCCTCCAGCTCTGGAAGAGTTTCATGGTATACTCTGGCTGCAGATGGGACTCCTTTTGATGTATTTTTATTGGCTGCCTACTAGTGAGTCATATTACTAGTAATTCTGTAGTAGTAGCAGTAGTAAGCAGAGGCAGTAGCAGTAGTAGTAAAATTAAACCCCTGATCAGTTTTGCCTTAAATCTGTACTCTCATCACACTTTGCTCTTCTGCCTCTACAGCAGCCACTTGCTCTTACTACCACTGGTCATCTGTCATTTACTAAGAACCTACTGTTGGTTTGACTGTGTGTCAAATACTGAAGGCTTTTATTTTTAGCTCTTTAATGTCATAGTCTTAGTTTGAATACTTTGAGGCATCGTGAGGACCCTAGGATTCTTCAGGGCTTGGATTGACATTGTAAACTAATGTGGCCTAGGGACCTGCAGCATCAGCATTACTCAGGGGTCTTGTCAAAGTTTGGGGTTGTGTTCTTCAGTTGCCAACATGAATGGAACTAAAAAAGTCTGCTCTCCCAATCCCTTGTTAGCTATTTGATGGTGGCCAAGCCTCACTGTGTGTCTGTTGCCTTATGTGTCAAGAATGGGGATCCTGGGGCAGGTGATGGGGGTTGGAGGTGGGAGGGTTGGGTAGATGTTGGTCAAGGGATACAAAATTAATTCCGTTGTCCAACATGGTGACTATAGTTAATAACAATGTATTATATTTTTGAAAATTGCTGTGAGTGAATTTTAAGTGTTCTCACCACAAAAAGTATGTGAGGTAATGCATATATTAATTCCCTTGATTTAGCCATTTCACAAGGCACACATCTTTCAAAATAGTGTTATATGTAGATAAACATATACAATTTTTGTCAATGAAAAATAGAAGAAAAAAAAAACCAGGCCAGGCGCAATGACTCAAGCCTGTAATCCCAGCACTTTGGGAGGCCAAGGCGGGTGGATCACGAGATCAGGAGATGGAGACCATCCTGGCTAACACGGTGAAATCCCGTCTCTACTAAAAAATACAAAAAACTAGCTGGGCGAGGTGGCGGGCGCCTGTAGTCCCAGCTACTCGGGAGGCTGAGGCAGGAGAATGGCGTGAACCCAGGAGGCGAAGCTTTCAGTGAGCTGAGATCCGGCCACTGCACTCCAGTCTGGGCGACAGAGCTTAGACTCCATCTCAAAAAAAACAAAAAAACAAAAAAACAGAAAAATACCAAATAGGGACTCTACTATCTGAGAGTTGTTGAGGAATAAAGTGAGATGCTTATCGTTTTGTTTTACCTGTAGCCTTTGCTTTACATTAAAAAAGAGAAAAGATAAGATGTGATCTTTATCCTCTCCATATGCTCCGCTTAATCTTTTCATTCCTGCGATTATACCACCATCAGAGGAAAAGATGCCTCTCCTCCAAGGCAAGCCTCCCTACATTGGCTCCTCATCCTGTCTGTTGTGGGGTCTCCATCGATTACCAACTTAACTCACTGCGCAAGATCAGAGGACAGGGCCATTGCCTATATTCATGGTTGCAGTCCCTGCATGGTCTTGTGGCTCCTGGCAGACAGCTAGTGTTGAGCAAGTCCTTTTTGCATGACTAAAAGTTTTCAACTTCTTTGCCACTAAGCCTGTGTGTATGATAGAGCTCTCTTCAGTTCATCACTCTCTCCCTTCTCAACTAATAAAGATGGTCCTTAGAGTGATTATTCCACTAGTCATGTCTGAGTCAGTTTTTAATCTAAAGAAGCTGAGCTTCTGCTTTGTCTTTGACCTCATTCTATTTTTCCTCCTG